ATATATATATATATATACAAAGTGCATTTACTCATATATAAACAATGCATTACGACTACTGAAAACTCTGGAAAAGAGTATTTCGAAATCTATCTTAGAGCAATCATTTCGTTCAGCCCCTTATTTAGTCGCTAATCTTTATTCGTCCCATTTAAATCGCTGTCTTCATTCACAAAAACTAAAATCCTGAACAATTTTGCATTTATGAAAGAGAGGGCGATAAAGTTTTCGACAAATCCAAAAACTGAATCGTAGAGAAAAGTACGATTTCTCAGGCATCTTTTTCAATTTGTGGTACTGGTTTATTCCTTAACTCATATCTCTTTTCCATTTTCAGCAATTTCACACTACTAGTGCTTTTTTTTGTGATAGCAGATCTACAGCTGCTTAGTCACAAGACATAAACCAACATAAACTTGTTCTGTTGCTGCTAAAATTATGCGACTGTTTCCCGTCCACGCCAAAGAATTTAATCCAATCCCCATGTAAAGATACGTCGGCACGTGCTGGGCCTTTTTAAAAATAACGACAGATTTACTTGAAAATCGGTAATGCTTGATGCGAAGACTGCATAAGTCTGAATTTATTTTGATTCTGAGCTGCTTTTGTGGATCACGACAAGGTGATTCTGCTTTGGCCAGACTTAATAAAGCAAGCTGTAGAAGCATTTTTAGCCAGTGAATACAAATTTTCTTTGCGGAGAGTACTCATTTGTTCCACTCATACCTGCAATGTTTCACGTTATGCTGAATCGCGTACATTTGGCGTATCATTGAAGGCAATCAAAATATGTTCAAAATTCCTGCACTGCAGGGCAATACCGTTTCCTTTTTGATCACTTCCAATGTTTGTCATAAGTGACCTCTCTTAATATCTTTTCAACTTGTACACTCCTGCATTTTGTTTACATGACCTCAACTGTTTGCTCTTTTACCGATACTGTACGGTCGGAAGAATCTCCAAAATAATTGACTGATAGTAAATTCATCAAAAATTTCGGCGCTAGAAGTACAAATATGATTCGTATTTGCTGTAGTGATTTTTCAAGAAGTTCTCATTCACTAAAACTTTTCAAGCAGTCCTCATGCACTCTTACACTCAGCCCTCATTTTATGAGTCTGCTTCATCTTTTTTAATCGTGCCCTTTTGTTTTATCTGTCCGTTGTGTTCTTCACACGCATTTTTTGTTAAATATTTGGACAAATGCAGTGAGGAATTTTCGAAGCAGCAAACTCAAAAGCCGCTTTAGAACTTTAGTATGCTTAAAGTTGCCGGAATCAAGAACTGTTTTTCCAAATTCATTTCATGAAAGTCGGCTTATTGATATTTATGAGTAAATCCGTAAAATTCCTGCTTGACAGAAGGTAACACAGTGAGTCAAATGCTGAAAATTATGGGGAATTTGGAATGGGAATAAGAAGCTCAGGACTGCTAGATGTCGGCATAATCCTTAAAGAGGGAGTTATGAGTGAGTGATGTGCTTCATGGCGAGAATAAGAAGCGGTGGGGAGAGGGACGAAGGAGGACTGGGTCATCTCACCCGAAATATCATCCTTCAAGTTAATAGCCAGTCGCTTCATTGCCGACCATCAATTAAGCAATTATATGTGCACATACGTACTCAAAAACTTTTGTTCCAAACGCTTTTTTACACGTGTTGAGGAAGTGATCGTTGAAAATAAATTTGAAGATGAATAGCGAAACCTGTGGATCTGGCGCGAAATAATAGTGTTGGGGAAATAATTCCAATCTGTCCCCTCAGATTTGGGTCCAGGTTAGTTTATCATCCCGTTCTGGATTTACGAATGATTTCGAGTTGACTTCTCACTAAACCGTGAATTGGACCCGGAAATGTCGTAATCTCAAGTGCGTCCCGTTCTAAAAAATAATTCGGAAGAACAGAGCACGCAAAAAACGTGAGATTTCAGGGTCTAGTCTACAGTTTAGTAAGGACTGAATGACTAAATCAGATTTTAAACCATTCTATGCTTTACCCATAAACTTTTCCACGCTTAAAGAGAGACTAAAGTCGTAACTTCAAAAAGCGTCCGAAATTCTGATGTTTCTTTTGCGCTGTTTAGAACAACAACCTAGTGTGATGAGCTAAAATCAACTCGTGCACGCTTTGTCGGGCTCACCCACTGTGAACCCACAATAGCTTTTTGCAAAAATACATAATCGCATCACTCGCCCCCTGATGTGCGCGGCTATCTATTTATTCTACGCATGTCACGATCATGCAAAACAAGGTTGCGATTATACACAACCCAGGGTGCCAGTCTGTTGGAAGAATCCATTCGGTAGAGTGAGGTATCGGAGACAGACGGACTGACACGTGTATGAAAGCACAAACGTATGATAGCAGACACGCCCAGGTGAAAACGGAACTCGCATTCTTATTTTTCCAAAGTATTCACTGAAAAATAATCTACAGCCAATGGACTGAAGTTGAGCTGAAAGATAACTGATGGGAAAGATAGAGGAAGGCGGGGTGGAGGGTGAGCGGGGAAGGGGGAAGAAGAAGGAGTTGAGGGGCAGGGGGCCAGACAAAAGCAGTGCTCAGTTAGGAGGGAGGAAGATGCATCTTGGAAGGTATTGCTTCTCGAGAAATTCGCATTCGCGGATTGTATGCATTGATCGTGTTGCTTCGCTTCCTGATTTGCTGCAGTGATCTGGTGGTGGCTGGCATTAAGAACAGCGCTGTAATAGTTCAAACGTTAACATGTCGTATGTTTCAGGCTAAACAGTTGCTTCTTTTTGCCTCTTGAAACTGTTCCGAGATTCAGCTGATACAGTGGATTGCGATTGGCATCAGCTGATACAAATTATAAAAAAACTTTCATCTTTTTATAGCTTTACTGATATTAGAAATCCAGCGGATCGAAAAGGCGAAAATGTAATCATTGGGTGTATTAGAACGATGACGACGTGAAAGCCTCCTTCTAGTTCTTTTTGCTCCACTACTGTAATCATTGCGTGGGGAATATGGGAATTGCAGCTGATTTAAAATTTGCATCGGCTCGGATGGACAACGTTTGCCCATTGGGAGGAAATTACTTATCGCTAAACACCAGCAGCACTAGTCAGTAGAGCAGCGTGGCATATTTTGAGGATGCAAAGGAATGTAACGCGGAAATTAACGAATACTTTCATCCCTCACGCTTATGCTGTCTTTGCAACGTTTCCATTTATTATTAACTCTCTTGTTTGAGATGCTTAAAGCTCTGCTCGTTGTTTGCAGAAAACCATATGGTTCTTTTTTTTTTTAATTAGTCAAGTAGAAATTATTTCCTAGAAATTCAAAAAAGCTGAAAATTATTGCA